GCCCCTCTTACCTTAGTGCCCCCCCCCCCCCCTCACTCGCGTGTCAATCGCCGCAGGAGCTCAAAAAGCAGCGCGTAGAGGAGGGTAGACACGCCGACGCGAGAGGGAGAGGAGGCGGCAATGCGGAGGAGAACGGCGGCGGCGGCGGCGCCAACGCGAAGTCGAAACCGAGCTTCCTGGACAAGATGCGAGGCGAGCAGGTAGACGCCATGGGGCTGGAGGAGCGCATGAAGCGCAACAGGCACTACCAACAGCGTGGCGCCGACGTGCACAACTTCATGGACCGGGGTTGATCATATGCTTGAGGGGTCGACGTGGAGCGGTAGGGAACGGTGCAGAGAGCAAACGGCCCCATGTGCATGGGACAAGGTTTTGTGTTGTGTGCGTCGGGTGCTGGTTGAGAAAACGTAAAGCTCGCCCCCCGCTCCGCATGCTCAGCCACGTCGTGGCACCTTTGGGCTGGGCTCCTAGTGTGGGGCAGATGTTGAAACCCACTGTGCATTGTTATTATTCTTATACCCTTGGCCTTCGCTGTGTGATCGAATGGCGACCAAGTCAGCCCTCCTCACCAATACTACTCGGCGTGTGACGTACCTATATAGCTCTATCCGGGCATCGACTTGAGATCTGGAAATGATTCATTGTAGTGCTTGCGTTGAGGGGCGGCATGCTGGAGCTACAGCAGTAGCACACCAGGGGTCGACGCTACCAGTTCCTCCGGGAGACTTGAGTCCCCTGAGAAATATTGGACCTATACTGTAAGGGGTGAAGAGAAGCATCTTAAGGGACGCGCGGGTAACCACCTCCTTCCGTCGAAGCAATCCTACCTTTCCTCCTTGTTGTATGTACAGTAGTGCTTCGTGTTTTTGAGAGCACACGCGAAGCCCGTGATGTGAGAGAGAAGGAGCGGTGATGCCTTTTCAACTCGGTGGCTAGAGAAAAACGGCAGTTGGGCAGACGGGCATGGAAATTTCCCAAAGTGGTCCACGACGTCCCCGTGGTCATCCCCCCCCCCCTACAGCAAGCATCGGCCACTGCATGGAGTTCAAGCCGAGGAAGAAATCCCACGCGCGAGCAAAGACACGCTAGAATCCGATTATTTTACGTAGAAAGCCCGCCGCCCTGAAAACACTCGCGGGCTTGCTGTGGATGGGTGACACCGGTTTCGTTCTGGTTTCGTGGCCTGTTTCATATTGGTCCTTTGGCGGAAGATATAGACTCGTAAGTGCCCACAGCCAAATCGATTGCTACGGTATTGGCAGGTCTAGACTAGATCCTTCAGTTCGCCGACTCACCGCTGGCACTGCACGCTCGAGATATCGACATCATGTTTACCCGACGTGGGAGGATTTGTTGCACATGCTCCTCCGACGATGCGTCTCACGCCTAAATAGCAAACCACCTATAATGGGACGAACGAACGATGCACAATTTATCCATGTGTGAAGGCGGCGGCCGTAGTCACGAAAACATGAGTTGTTGTTGTGGTTCTATTTGAAGGGGATGCATACGAAAAAGCCAAATCATACGCTATTTCGTCGTATCCAAAATCCCGACCTCGCCGCTTGCAAGGTGCGTATCACCAAGACCATTGCGATGGCGACCAATGATCTGCAATATTCAACAATGGTGCTGCCTTCCACGCAGGTAGCATGTACAAGTACACATATTTTGTTTATGCATACAGCAGCAGTAAAAGCTTGCTTTCCGCAACAGCACAATCATCTGAGTTGTTGCTGCTGTACCGGCAGAGAGAACAGAGCGAGTATTTCGTACATCGAACAACAATCGTTTGCACTTGCCTTCCCCCAAGTAGCTCAAATTGTGACGCGTGACGCGAGACACCCGTCTGTGCTACAGCAGTTGTATTGATAGCGCTACCACAGCAGTACTGCAGGAGGTTTGAAGGTGAACCGTCGGACTACTACGCGTCGTACTCACACCAGTTCAGGAAAAATTATACATCCCCTGTGGTTCTCTACTGGGTCAACGACAAAATATCCTAGTGATAGATACTACATGTACCTGTAGGTGTGACGGTGAACGGTCGCGGGACTGTCAACTCTGTGCCGGCAAGGGTGTTTTTTTTTTCGTAGCACACGGTATTTACCGGCTAAAACGTGATTGATCACACAGCAGTATCTTGACCACCATCTCCCTTTTTCTCACAGACACCCGCCCGCACTCGACACCACGGGTGAGACTCCATCATCGGCAAGGCGTTCATGCGTAAGAAGCAGCACCAACCACCATCATTGGAGCCGTCACGCATCAGCCGCGCGCTCCCGTGGGTACCCGTGCCTGTCCGACACACCCGCTCTCTGTCTGGTTGTTTGTCCTGCGAGCACAGCAGCTGTGGTCTTCATCCGGAGAGGAGAGGGTCAATGTGAGAGCATGAATGATTATTGTGCACGAGAGAGAGGTAGGGCTGGCATGATCAGAGGAGGTATACGTTGCTCCCATGAGAGAGGCCGGACGTTCCCACCTCCTAGAGAACGAGTCCACGCCCGTAGCTGCTTTTGTTTCAGCACACGTCCTCACACGACATTGCATCGAGAGGCGTCGGTGTTGGACAGTCTACCACAGTGGCCCGTTGGCATCATGGCATGAATTTCGCCGAGAACCACGAAGCACTCTAGTTGACTTGCCCGCCCCCTGCGGGTGCTACCTCTGCTCCCGCCACAGTAGAGAGCACTGCTGCCGAGGATGGACGACGTCGTCTACCACGACATCTCCCAGCCAGGATCGCACCTGGGGACATCCGTGAGAACCAGCCAGTCCATCGACCATGACATGTCCCAGCCAGGATCGCGAAGCCTACTTCCCCAGTCAGGATAGCGAAACCTACTTTGAATGTAGGCTTCGCGATCCTGGCTGGAACATGTCGTGGTTGATGAATTGACTGGCTCTCGCCGCCGATGTGCCCAGGTGCGATCCTGCCTGGGAAATGTCGTGGAGGACATCGCGGTCCATTCTCGGCAGCAGTGCTCGCTACTGTATGTAGCGGCAGCAGAGGTACTGTAGCACCCGCAGGGGACGGGCAAGTCGAGTTCTCCCTTAGGGGCATCGGCGTTGAGAGCCAGCTACTTCGTTGTTGGGGATCCAACAGAAACTATAAAGCTAACTTGAAGTACAAAAAATGTTTTACAGGCAGTATAAGCGGCCTCCTGCGCGCGAGGTTGATCGTTGTTTGCACTTGCCACGCATTTCTGTGTCAAGCGCAGGGATGATGCGAGGGACTTGTAGACCGCCCGTTGTGCTGTTGCCCGCACCGCGCGTGGAGAATTAGCAGCTTGCCCCAGGTCATTCTCTCAGGGTTGTTGTTTGCCTCAAGATTCCCATTATTTTTTAGAGATTCTCTTGTATCATTTGCAGTCTAGACTCCTGTAGTAGTCTTTACGACGGCGGTAGCGGTGAACAAGTACTTGTCTCCTCTATGTATCTATTTGTTTGGCGAGTTCTCCGCCGAACATCGTGATTGACACGTGGTTTGGAAAACGTTTGTGGGACTGGCAAACACCGTCCGCGCGAGTTGCATCCTTTGTATTCATGCGGTAAGCCACACCGGCGGAAAGGGCGGGGGGAGGGTAGGACAAGCGACGGGTGGGGTTGCCAAATCACACGGTCTTTCACTGGGAAAATGGGTGGTGCTTCACTTGGTCGAGGTTCCTTTTTTCCACGCGTACTTGTACTAGAAGTACCGAAGTTCTTTGACACATCAACCACAGAAACACCCTGTCACGCGCAAGAAGAAGGATAGGCTTGAGATGGAGACATAGCCGCAGACAGAATCACCATTGGGCCGAGTTGCCGAGGTTTTCCCTACTTCCCTCGCGTGGTTGGCAGAGAGCCTTGGGGACACGCATTTATTTCATGACCCGAAGAGAAGTTGGTTCTTCGTGGTGCCCTCATTTTTTTGTGGTCGGTGTGTATTTTGTTGTTTACTTCCTTCTCAGATCTTGATTGCCAACTGCAATAATATTGATGTTTTCCTCTTTCTTTTTAGAAAGACAGGTGTGGGGACAGTTGGCTTGTGACAACAACGTAGTAAGGTGTCCGCGTCAGTTTGACTACGGACAATATAATGTACTGAGCGGAGACCGGAACGGTTTTTTATGTGACGACAACAACAACAACAACAACAACAACAACAACAACAACGTCAGTTGGACCAGTACCGGCACTAGAGGGTACTGAGCGGAGACCGGAACGGTTGTTATTGTGGACACAACTGCAACAACAACAACAACAATATACTCCGCAGTGTACACGTACGAAGTTAGCGGATGAAATTCATTGAAATTGACAATAGACATGAAATAGACAGTAGACAAATTACGACCACTACCTGCCCCCGTGAGTCTACGTATATATATATACATACCTCAGCTCCCACCGCACTCTCTCCTCACCCCAACCCCCCTATCGGCGGCAAGAACATTTGACATTTATATTCTCTGGTATTTGTTGTCTTCTACTACTACTTTCAACCTACTGCGCCTTCTTTTTTTGGTATATCCGGGGGGTACCATCCGGACGTCCACAACTATATTTCATCTTCGGTATTGTGTGCACGCAGAACGACACATGCACCATCTCGAACAACGGGCGGGCGCGCTTACGTTGGGGATGAATGTTGAGGTGCAGCACCATTTGAGATTTTCAATGATTGCCGAGGGCGTGGCATGCCTCGACGAGGTGGGCAACGAACGACCAACGGCAAGAAGGATAGAGTGCTGTGTGTGTGTTTGGTTTGTGTCAGTCCCATCAAGTGCCATGCATGTATCTGTTGTTCTGGCCCCAGTCTACACTGTACACCTGTTTACCTCTAGTCTAGGTATGTGTTGAACGTATTTTTACTAAGTTGAAGCGGAGGTCACAGGAAGAGGAGGAACTTTCACAGTAAGGAGCTTACTATAGTTCTGTTGATTATTTTGCGAGTAGAAGTGTTTGCTACCTTTCGTCGTATGCTCGTGATTGTTTTTATCAACAAGTTTCGAGGTATCCTTTGTCTGCTCGTCGACCGTGAAATCGAAGTGCTAAACTTTCATGCATATTTTTTCACACTACCCCAACTGATCATTTTCCCACCTCAAATTCAAACCTTTTGATGTCCAGAGAGAGAGAGAAATTCGAGTTCTTCCAACCTGCTACAAAGTTTTTGGTCGCTGTCTAGGCCACCGGGCTGTGGCAGTCAAAATCTTACTGAAACGGTAGATACCCACATGCATGCCTCTGTATCTGGTACACAACGTGGACGTTCCAAGCGGGAGAGCTTCTACAAAGATGCTTTAGTTTCCCTGGGGGAGAAGATCTCAACCTTTCATCAAACATTTTCCGCACCCTCTCACACCTTCTCGACGTCCACTATGCGAGGATTCTCGTGTTGGTTTGTTTCGTACAGCCACCCTCAGGGAAATTTCAAATCATATAAAAAATATCAAATGGTATACTCCCAAGATGTCGTCCGGCGTTTCCTCCTATTTTTACCTTTCGTGATCCTTCATGCACTTTTCCTCCGTGCTGCCGGTTTACTTTCTCCCATTATGTGGTGTGGTGCCACGCACCGCGCCACCCTACAACCCAACGCCGGCGGCACGCAGTACGCCCTAATGCAAGACTTTCACTTTTGTCGTTCTTGCTACGACGGTCCTATTTTCCCAGCCATTTCTTTTGCTTCCTATTTCCCTTGTTCCATGATCTTGCGCCATTGAGACAACGCCGACATTTGTTCCATGCGCGTGGCGGTACATCCTATTCGGCATATAGAGGTATTTCCGACGTATTTTACGGGCCTTGTTTTTCCGCGGAGCGGATCGGAGCGGATCGGTTTTACCCGCTCCGCCCCGCTCCGTGATACTTTGCCTTGAGAAAAACCGCTCCGCTCCGCGACGTTATGGAAAGAACCGCTCCGCTCCGTGATAATTTTGCCCTCGGATAAACCGCTCTGCTCCGCTCCGTGGAGCTTCTCAATAATTCGTACAAGCGGTTATTCCCCAGGACGGTTTGAGCTACTCCGTCACACGAGCACGGATAAAACGGCAATGCAGTCACGGGTAAAACCCCCCAAAAGTCACGGTTTTCCCACGGAGTCACGTTTTTTTTTCGTTTTTCCGTTTTTTCTTTTATATTTTCACAGCAGAAGGTATTAGGCATGTAGCACTAGTTTCAACAAGAGGCAAGTGAGGAATCATCTGCTGTTGTACGTGTTGCAGGAACGTATGAGTCGAGGAAGTATCGGTGCGGGGAACGGTCCCTTTCTGAATAATTGACTGATTGGGCTGACCTAGCGGCGAGGACGCAAACGTTGTCACCGGCGGCCTCCAACCACAGCACACCGTGCGGAAAATCGGTGTTCGGTGTACCAAACCCAACGTTATTCACGAAATCGCAGATACTCCGTCGATTTTGTACGGATATCCGTGCGGTTTCGACGGTTGTTTTCTGACGGAAAGACCTTCCTCAAGGCCACGGTTTCGCGCGATTTAACTACGGAGTAAACAAAACCGCTCCGTGAAAAAAACGCACTACGGATAAACCGCTCCGTCTCATGAAAAAAAAAACGCTCCGCTCCGTGGGACTATCGCCCTCGGCTAAACCGCTCCACTTGGAAAAAGAGAAAAACCGCTCCGCGGAGCGCCGCGGAGCGGTTCTACTCCGTGAGTTACACTGGATATTTCCCTGTCTCGTAACGGGAGGCTGGCCGCCCGGTCCATTGGGGGGCGGGGGGCCAATTGTTCCCCTTGTTTGACTTGCGGCATTTTGAGTAGAAAATATTCGCTTCGTGTTTCTTCCACACGCCCCTCTCCGATCCCCTCCCAGCATTCTTCTCGCAACGCCTCCAACGACGGAGAATCAGTCTGCGGTGACGTCCCATCCTAACCGAATTGCACTGAAAATACCGCCAGAAAGTAGCTGGGGGGAACGATTGGCCCCCCGCCCCCCAACGCGGCGGGGCGGGCGGCCAGACTCCCGTTGCAATATCTCTAGAAATCGAGTTTGAGTACATATTCGTAAAAGCGATTCTTTAGCTAAGGTCCTTCGAGTGTAGTGGGGGGGGAGGAAAGGGCGATGGCGTAGCCAAACAGGCATATGCCATCGTTCTCTTTTCCGGAAGATCTTGATGCGGTCGTGCTAGGTCTTTACCCCTTCACCAACACCGAGCAGTATATTCGTTTTGCTCAGCTCGATCTGAGAGCTACATGCACACGCCCAAGCACTCGATCAAGCTGCGGGTGCACGCCATGCCGTCCATTTGTTTGGTACACATCGGCCGTGGAAATCTTTCCAATCCTAACCCACCCTGATGGCTCCTTTCACTTCCACCTTCTCTGACCACGTGCATGCATGCCTGCTTCATCCCATTCCTGTCCAGGGCATGCTCGACAGCGTCATTTCCGCCGCGACGAGGCAGGGAAGACCGGATCTTCCACCTGGGAGGCAGCAGTTCCGACGCCGTCTCATGCGAGATCGGGATGCCCCCCGGACAAGCCTCGACAATGAAGAGGTATTTGTGGGGCGCACTTCACGTTTTGTGTATTGCAAAGCGCAAATCATGCTTCAAAAAACAAATCAGCACATCATGTTGAAATGCACGGTGCGGAGGACAGGCTCACGCTCCTATATGAAGAGCCTCAGTTTCGCGGGTTAACATGCTTCCATTCTAGGGCTAGGGGCGAGTGCTCTACGATATCATGGTGAGCCCGAGCCGCCGTTCGAGATTAAAACTAAGCGTTCCAAATGCATGCCGACTAACCAGAGGGACTTTTCTGACAAGCGAGGCTTCCGAGATTGTTCAGACGTTGTCGAGGAGAGTTTCACTATGATATCAGGGCAAGACGACCGACCTGGATGAGGCATACAGCTTTCTGCCCGGCGTTGGGGGCGAGGCAATGGACCGTTTGCTTGACGACGTCAGCGATGTCCTCGACCCTACCAAGGGCGAGGCGGGTGCGCCCACCAACCTCGAACGGGTGAAGAAGGTCACGGGTGCGGAGTACCGTTCCGTGTTGAACTTCTTGGACACGAGGGGTCAAGGATGGGATCGACAGATGGGAGGAATGGAGCGAACTTTCTCCGCAGACGGCGTCATGGGGTAAGCATGGCACTCGTGTTTGTTGTCGTTTTGAGTTTGATCTAGCAACACACAATATACAGGCGCCGCCGAGCCTTTGCTTGTCGACCTTCCGTCCTAGTGTCCAACCTCATGTTGCAGGCTGCACTCAAACCCAGCATGTTTTTCATACCCTACCCTTTTCGAGCGCACTCTTCGTAGGTATTCTTGAACGTACCTCCCGAACAATGTCCTTTTTCCACCCGAAACAGGTGAGTCTGCCCTCAACATAGGTCAGAGTGGAAGGCGAGCAACGTCAAGGGTACCAGCGCGACTGCAAGGCGGGCAAGCAGCAGCGCCCGTAGTCCAACTAGGCCGATGGCCCCGGAACCACGCGAACCACCTGCAGCTTCACGTTACAGTTGTGTAATTACTTGATCCGTTGTGCTAGTGTTGAGAACATGGCGGAAGGGAGAACAGGGAGAGGGCATCCCGTTCCGTTGTACTCTTGCCACCTTAAGCATATTATCTAGACATTGCAAGACGTAACCTCGTAGGTTGGCTCTTCGGAGACGCTTCCTTGCATGTGCCGCCAGGCTTGACCGTTTTCCATGCGATTATGGCCATCCTCTCAACAAGCGCATTGTACGTGCTTACATGTTTTCCGGCGCTGTAAGCGCCTTTGGCTAATCGCTTCGGTTTCCCGTTTTGTTGCGTTATTGGGCGGTATCGCCGCTCCAACGCACGGGCGCTTAATGTTTTACCTAGGTGTGGTTTCTCGTAGGTGAAACGTGTTTGCTTGCGAGGTCATCCCAAATCTGGTAGGGTTGACCATGTGGTGGCCTGTACCTTGCTCTGGAGCGGAATCGCCCCGCAATGAAATCAGTTTTGTCCAATTTTGGCCGTTGTCTTCAGTATTCGAGTTGCTGCTTCGAATTTGTTGCTTATGTCAGCCAGGCCAGATACCTTCCTCCGTTCTAGGCGAGTTACTCCGCTGAACACAGCAATTCGATTGATTCTGGTCGTGAGGAATTAATCATCCTTTAATTATGTCCATTGTTGAACAGCTTTACGTGGGTTGTGGTGCGCTTGAAGTCAGGTCCGTTGATGAAGTTGTTAGATTAGCGGGGAATATATAGACCACCACCCAGGTATGCTTGGCCTTTTTCTGTTTTCCTGTAGAATTTAGCACCACTTCCCTGGTTCCGGCACGGCCACTCAGATCGGAGAATTCGGCTGCAAGCGTTTGCTCGTCGTTTTCGCACTCTCACCGTTGGGGAAACATTTGAGGCAGTGGGGGTCTGTTTGGGGGTAAATTCGCTCGTATTCTCGGTATTGGAGTTGCTCGCAGAGCTCCAGCACTAGTCTACACAGCTGAGGCCGGTGCAAGTCAAGTCCGGTGACGGGTGGAGAGGAAACAATCCACATCAGCTTGGTCGCGTGTGATCCCATAGAATCGGTCATCCTCCAGGTAGAGAGGAAGACTGGAGGGTTTTATGCCCAAGGGTGGGCAATGGCCCCGAAAGTTGGACGTGTATCATTTGCCAAGGTACCATGCGAACACGCAACAGCACCATGAAAGTGAGTTTTGGGTGTGCAAGAGCTGGGAAGGAAGTGATTGCTAGTAAGCATGCTTGCATCGCATCGATCGGCGATTGAGGTCCTTCCGGTCGTTCGTCTGGTTTTTACTGAAATTTGAGATGTTTCCGCCACGTGACGCGAGCTGTCATTTCCCAGGTACTGATGATATGGACGTTTTTTTTCAGCAATGCGATGATTGTTACTTCATCGTCGTGCACGAATCCCAAAATCTTGCCGAGATTTCCCCTTCGACCTTTCGTTCGTCCATGTAACCTTCTGTGTTCGTGTTCTCCCTTCCATTGATGGGTCTCTGGTCACCCCCCGGTTCATGCGTTCTTGACTTGCACCCGCTGCGTTTCGCGTCTCTGTTCTCCTCTGTAGTGTATTGGTACACCACAAATATATGTGCGAGTTCTTGTTCCCAGACCACATCGGAACTGAGCACGAAACTTATTTCGGCCATGTTCTTAGGTTGTTGAAATTTGTAGAGGCCACATTTCTTGACTACGAAGTGTATCACGTGACGTTTGGCAGCGTTGCTCGGGTCGTTGTTGGCGCGTAATCGCCAACCAACGGGGCTAATTCCTCAACAAACCGCCGTCTGTCTCATCGCGAAAATCTGATGAACGGTGTGTGTTGCGATTTCGCCTCAATCTCCATTCTGGGCACCAGTCTACACCTACCGATTTTTTTTTTTCTCCCATCATTGGACTCCGTCGTCTGCCACTCTGATCCCCATCCTCCACTTCTACTAGCTAGACCACCCATCGGGGGTCACATTGGAGGTGGGGTTGAAACCCCTCCTGCGGTTCCTGCCTGAGATATTTTTATCGCGAGAAGGGTACGGCAATCCCTTCCCTCGCGACTTATGAAGTCGATCAAGTTTACTAACAACGACCTTTGACCTGTGCATCGTTGACTAACTCGACGCGGGCAGACCCTGTGGTATGCTCGCGTAATTAGAGGTTAGGTTGGACCCAAATCCTGAACAGCTGTGAGAGGGCCTGCCCTGTTGGTTGACTTCCGTAGCGTGACTGCAGCTTGGGACTCACCGCACCTTCGCGAATCACACGTCGAAAGCATTGAATCCGAATCCGCATCGGTGCGCCATTGATTCTCCCATTCTTTCCTAGTTGCCTTCTCATTCCTTGACAACCCAATCCTCATCACTGGCTCCCTCGCTACAACGCGCTAGCTAAACGACGACAACCATGTCGCATATCGTCGACCACGTCCGCCGCCGCCGCCCCTACCACCACCTCCTCCTCTTCCCCTCCCGTCCCCTCTCCCACCAACACGCCGACCACCACCTCGCCCCTGCCCCGTGCCTCTGCCGCCACCCCGCCCCTCCCTCATACCACCCCTATTACTGCTATCTCGTCCACCGCGCCCCCCTCCGTTCCTTGAGGCGCCAGGGCCGGGTATGCCTATGCCCCCCATTCGCATGCGCTTGGTCCCTCCTCGGAGCTTGGCCGACTCTTCCAGATTTCTTCGCTTCTGGATCTGCCAAGAAGTTGGTTCGGAGGGACGGCGGGGCGAGTGGGCAAGAGAGGCACGTTTGGTGATAAGCAAGTTGGCCTTGTGGGTCCAGTCTTGAGATACGAGCCAGAGAGATGAAGAATGCCTATGACTCGCAGCGAGCTCGAGCACAGGAGCAGAGAGGCATTCATACGTCCAATTTACTTGCCCAAGAATGTGGCGCCGACTGCTTTTCGCTACCACACAGTTATTGTCCTATTGAAGATCTTGGCATGTTCCCCTCTCTTTCTGTCGTCAGTCACGATCGTCCTTCTGTTGCACCACGGCGAAAAAGACAAAGCGAGCATCGATGTGGGCACGCGCACATCTCCACAACTCGTGATATCTTAGGCGTCTTAAGAAGGAACTTTGTTTATACATCAGGGGGCGCACGATGTTTCTTGAACCGGTCGAACTTGCGGGAGGTGTTTAATTTTGTTGCATCTTGGGGTCTCAAGTCTGGAGGAACCCGTTGGAGTGGTCACTTTCTCGGAGAGCTAACTTACAAGTCGTCAAATTCGCGTCTTGAATCATCAAACATCCATATCGGCACGCGCACATCTCCACAAGGTAGTAGCAAATACGTCAAATTTGCGACAGGCGTTTATGTTCCAGTATGTCAGGGGTATCATATCTGGAGAAACCCTTTGGAGTGGTCGTTTCCCTCGGAGAGGTAACGACAACGTCGCGTCTTCAACCGCACTCTGTACTGTGATATTTCACCTTCCCGGCTTCTGTGCGATCCCTTCGCCGCTCTGCCGCCGCAACCGGATCCGTGGCCTTCTCCACCGCACGCTGCCGCTTTCGCTCCACCCGCTTCCGAGAGATCTCCATGTTGACTCCCGTCAAGGCCTCTAGGAAGCGGCCGCTGCCAACCTTTGCCAACCTTCTTCTCCAGGAGTTCCATCACCTTGGGGAGGGGCGGGGCGGGGCGGGGTGGCGTACTCTCATGTTTTGCATGCCTTAGCGGTTGGATTGACCAACGCGTCGCCGAGAGGACGAAACGGGGGGCAGCGACGGATCGGCCAAACGGGAGCAACCACACGTTGGAGGGGGGAACAAAAATAACAATTATCGTCGCTTGTAACACCCGGCAGTGACAACGCAAATAAAGCTGTATCTTTCGAAAGACGCTCTGGTGATCGGATAGTGGCAATGCAACAACTGCCTGCCCCTTCTCACAACCACACTCTGGTACCTCCTCCTTTGCGCGCCACTCTCCACTCACCTCCGTCGCTAGCTCCGCAGCAGTTTGCTCCTTCTCAGTAGCTGTGCCCCCTCCCCCGCCACCGCTACCGCCGGCATGAGACCCCCTAGCCTTGTGCTCCACCCCGCCCGCCTCGGCGTCTAACACCGCTCTCCGCAGCGGCAGAAGCATGAGCTTCAGGTAGAAGCATGAGCTTCAGGTGGGCCACGGAAACGGCGGGCTCGTGGACGGTCATCATCGCCAGGAACCAGCTGAACACCGCTCGCCTCCGTGCCTCTCCTTTGGGCACCACCATTTGGGACATGCGCTTGAACACCCATCTCAACGGGTCTGCGGCACCGGACGTGGTAACCCTACCGCCGCCAGCGAGAGAATAATCGGCAGAATCAGCGGCGGCGGCGGCGGCTTCTCCGCCGTCATCGTCAACCCCCTCGCTGTCGCTTGCGTCGTCCATCGCCAGGCTTTCGGTCCCAGAGGCGTCTTCTTCTTCTTCGACGGCGTCCTCAGCGAAGCATAGCTCCGGGTTGAGGTGCATCGCACGGCCAATAAACACCAGGTTCTTTCGGGTCCACCTGTGGATGGTTGGGAGTTGAGAGATGAAAAGGAATCAAGCGAGAGGAAAATTCCTCCTGAAAAACTCTAGGTATTGGCATCCCTTCATAAAACGAAGCAAAAAAGAGTTTTTTTTTTTTTTTTCACTTCAAATCAGCGCTCACAGCGCTAGTGCCGTTACTCCAACCCGTGGTCACACGGAAGGGCCTCTTTCTACCCTCCCCTCCTGCGATACGTTGCCTACGATTTTTAATGCGAGAAGAGCTCAGCACTCTCTTCTCTCTGTGTACACAAGAACTAGCACTATCCACTTGGCCAGCAGCGGAAGCGGGAGAAAAACTCACTTTGCAAGAAAAGCTCGCTTATGCCGGGATTCGAATCCCTGACCTGACCTCCAGAAGGTTTCGAGAGAGGACACCAACTAGACCACCGGGGCGACCGGGTGCTGAGAGATAAAAATGAAGCAACCGAGAGGAATTTCCTTGCCCCAAGAAACTCCTGCTTGCGTCCTCTGCACACGACGACTCTATTTTGAGAATATGGGAGAACTTTGAGCATCACGGGAATGGTCCACACCAGACTAACCCCTCTGAGGCGCTCCGGGTCAAAATCATCTCACACGGCATGTGTTCTCTCTGTGGCCCCTCTCTCTCCTTGATCTCCAAACGTACTTTCTCAAACGTGTTGTAGATATAGGCGGCTACTTCCATAAGCACCCCAGCGTCTGCTCCACCGAACGCAGACACAAACTCAAAGAACATTGGGTGGAGCGGGGGAGGGAGGGGGGGCGCAGCAAGTTACAGCATAGCGCACACATGCATGCCTACGATAACGAAGCGTTCACGCCCTCCCCCCCCGCAACATCAGCAGCACTCTCATCTACTGCCTCCCTATGGTGCGCACCTGCGACCTGTTGAGCTGAGAGCACAGGTTCTGGCACAGGCGGAACAGGACACGCCTCCTTGGAAGGAAGTCCTGTCCCCCGTCGTCTCCCCCGGCTCGCTCGCCGGCAACATCACCCCGCCGCTGGCCCCGGCATTTCGCTTTCAACTTCCCGGGTGTTGAGTCACCTTGGACTTGCTTCGGTGTCTGGCGTCTCTCTACTTGGCCACCGCCACCGCCATTGCCACCGCCGCTGCCGCCGGCGGTTACGGTCAGGGGCTCTGGATCCCTCTTCGAGAAGAACGATCCCCAAACGCGGGCGGCCGCGAGGCGCACCCAGGCATCCTGGTACAGCAACGCCTCCAGTAGCCGATCGAACAGCCCATCACCTTCATCGCCGCCACCTCCGCCCCCGCCGCCCCCGCCGCCGCCGAGGCAGAAGACGCTGGAGAGCTGGTCGAGGTTGGGCTCCGGGAGCCGTCGGAGGAGCTGGGAGCACAGGTTGAGGGCCGCGAGGCGCCCCTCGGCGTGCTCGTAGGAGACCCCGCTGATGATCTGATTGGTCGGGACAAGTTGGAGCAG